TCACCTAGCTAGACGGGCTCAGCTTTAAATGGTGTCTCCTACCCTTTGTTCTGACTGCGCCTTGGGGCCTGAAGTGTGACTGTCCAAACGGCACCATCACACTGAGCTACCGGCCCGCCCAGCTCCGCCAGGGGCAGCGGGGACAGAAACGGGATGTCGCAGCTGGGCTGGCTGGCTCCTCGCAAACTTGGAAACGGAGCCCATCTGATCTGGGCTCACTGAGCGACGCTCTCCAGGGACCCAGGGCAGGCGGAGTCACTTTTCACTGCCGGTCCAGATTTTATGAACCCCCCTTGCTGTCTAGGCCGTGTCCACACCCTGCCCCGCGCCAGGCGAGAGCATTGGTTCCCCATCCAGACTCTTGTGGACCAAGCTATTCCCAATTCCAGGCATGAGGCGGGAGGGGCTCTTCCAACAGGCCACTTCCCAGGGAGGGCAGAGGAAAGATGGCATGCAGAGACCATGCCACCCTCCCCATCTGCCAGCCAGGGACTCAACGCGCTGAGCGTCGTAGCGTCTCTGTTCCACTGAATGAACACACGCGCCACCATCAAGCATGAGGATAGCCCGGAGGAGTTACTCATAAACACAGCTGTTGTAGTGAGCACACAGACATGGATTGTACCACTACAAAGGCAGGGGTGGGCAGCCACAGGTAGGCCCCCTCCCCTGCAGTTCCGATGGTCTTAGCGACACCTACTTAGTGGCTCTCAGTGCAAAACTCATCTGCAAATGCATCGGAAAGTGGTGCAGACGAGAGGCACCGAGCTACCTTGGGCAGCCCAGGAGCTAGGAAACTAGTGCAAGCCAGACTGGACCCACCCTGGGAGCTGGGTTAGCAGGTGCCCTGATATTCCAGGTCTCAGCCTTTAAAAAAAAAATCGAAGGAGAGCACATTAAAGTGGTCAGGGCACTGCTGGGAGGAAAAAGGGGGCGCAGGGACAAGCACACGGCCATGGCTGCAAAACCCCTCGGGTAGGTGAATCCATCTCTCTCTCTCTCTCTCTCACTCTCTCTCTCCACTCATTTTCCTGCTGGATTATTTTATTACATTGTTTTTCTTCAAAGGCGAGGGAGCGAGGGCTGTGCGGGAAACCTTCGGGATTCACCTGTCGGAGCCTGCACGGCAGCAGCTGAGATCCTGGACCCAGGACAGCTGAGAAGAAGATGGGATAGGGATCTCCTGCCCTCCATCAGCTGGGGGCAGGGGTGAGGGGGAAAAAGCAAGAGGTGCAAGTTTTGGAAGGACCTAGGATGTTTCTCTGAGACCATCTCTCTCATGCACACACACCCAGCAGGTGGAAGCGATTTCCATGCTGGCACCTCTCTCTGCCCAAGCGCTGTGCATAGTAAGTGAGTTTAAGAGCCAGGAGGAATTGGAAACCAGATTTACAGTGTAGTGAGAAGGGGCTGGGGAAATTAGCTGCACAGATCAGTGGCGGAGTAAGCAGTGATATAGAGCGCAAAGGGGAAGCCCGGGAGATAACCATTCTCTCCTCTAAACTGTCTCCTCCTCTTCCCTGGTTGTGAACATGCCAAAACTTCCTAGACTAGACAGTGTATTTTTCCTTTATCTATAGAATCTCCACCCCCAGTTCAGTTTGCATGATCATTTGCGAAATATAATGACAAAGCTATCCATAGCTTCCTGACCTCTGTGACTTCTTTTCCCATAGGAATTGCAGATACATTTATGGCTAGTCAGTTTATTGATTTCCCTAAGTGAGTATGTAGCAAAAAATCAGGGATAATTGTTTCTTCAAAAATTATTACTGGGTGTAAAAATCCTGCTGTTTTCTTGCTCTTGCCTATAAACAAATTCCAGCTTTCAGAAGTTGCCATTTGAGAAAAACAAGCTTGAAAAATGGCTCATTTGTCTCCCAGGGACCAGGTTCCGATCTGATCCATTTTATACCAATGTAACTTAAGTGCTGTGCCCTGGCTCCTGATTCGCACCAGGTTTTCAAAGAGCTCAGATTCTAGTCTTGAGTATCCTTCATATCAAAATTTTAACATTGATTTTTTTTAAATAAAGAAAATCATAGGGCCGACTAAATTTGAGCCCTTATTGCTGTTTTTTGTTAAAACAGCTGTCATACTGGTTTTTCATACGATAATCTAAGTGGGAGAGAACCTTAGCACATAATTTTCTTTTGGATCATTTTTTTTTCTTTGTACCACATAAAGAAAAAGCTGGGCTAGGTGAGTGGTAATGGGCAGGAAAGGAGAGGAGTGAACCAAGAATGAAAGAGAAATAATTGTTAAAGGGATGATATATTTGTTTGTTTCCTTTATACACTGCATGGAACAAAATTCAGCCAAGCAGGGCAGAAGCTGGCTGTTCCAGGTCGTGTGTAGTGTGGAGCATGTGTAGTATGCAAATCTGTGTTCTTCCCCGGGAAAAACTTCCGCTACAGCTGATCCAAACGGATGGACGTGGTGGTGAAGATCAGAGGTTGTTAATAGACAGAGGTATTCCTGAGTTTTCAGGCAGCTGTCCACATGCACCATATATGGCCCCCAACCCTCTAGCTGCTGTTGGTGTTCTGCTGAGGTTAGAGCCATTCCTTTAAGAGATGTGCATGGAGAAATGGCAGAGGAGCTAGGAGATTGCCCACTGGAAAACAGGAGAATGCTAAGTGTCATTTTCTGCATTTGTAATATAATCCCAAGCAACCATCTTCATTAAGCCTGGCCGTAAGGGGAAAACAATTTGTCCCTGCATCCAAAATCCCCTTTAGAGACCTCTGTTCTCATCTCTAACCCGCCTGGAGAGGCCAAGAGAAGGGCTTGCTTTACAATAACCCAAAGTACAGGCCTGCAGAGTCATGCAAGCAGCCTTAACCCTGCTCCCCTAGAAGCACCATGCTAATACCAAGAACAAGCAGAAAGAGACAGGGGTATCCATCTATCATGTAGGTCCATCTCCTTAGAGACCACAAAAGCCTTGGTATCTTAATGATCCAGTGATGATGGATAAGGTTGGCAGCATGGCCAGACACCTATGGCCCTGATACTTTACAAAGTATGCCTGTTTAAGTGGGCAGCAAACTGCTGGGTGTATATAGCACACATGTTCTGGAATATATGAATAGGTCTTACTCAGAAGTTGCCCCTCAACCTCCAGCTACCTGATCTCACATAAACTCTCACCTGAGTTCAGTGGGGTTTTCCACCTTGACTAGCTGGCACAGCTGGGATCTGGGTTCCATTTCCACTCGGGCTGGTAATCCACTAGCCCACAGGTGAGGGGGGACCCATGGAGCTGTATCAGGAATGTTTTGATTTAAAAAAGGGGGGGGGAGGGGGTAAAAAAATGCAAATTCATCAAAAGCAAAACGTCCAGTAGGATCGTATCACATGCCATGACTTATATGACTTGAGAAGGCCAAAAAAGCTTTGAAAATGTCAAAATAGCCCCTTTCAACATTTTTTTGGAAGAAACATTTTGACTCATGGTTTGAAATAACTTACCTTTAGAAATTGTAATTACATTTAAAAATAAAGATTTAAACTGACACCAAAGGCAAGGTTTCACAATTATCAAAATGAAACATTTTAAAAGACCCAAACCAACTTTATTTCTTTTTCCGTGTTCTCTGTTCAGGAACAATTTTCAGGATCTTGACTTCCCATCCCAGTTGGGGAGGAGGGGAATATTTTTCAAATGCTCTCAAGTTCTTGCGGGTGAAGAAACCATTTCCCACCCTGGCCTCCCACCAAGAGCACAGTACACAGAACACAGTGATTCAGGTACAACTCCAACTCTGCTGTGAAGACACAAGGCCGGGCACACAGGGTTATGGGCAGCCAGACCTAGTGGTCAGAGCTAGAGTCCACAGTCATGAGACAAGAGTTCCTCTGATTCAGGCTAGCAGGAACTCAGAAGCTGAGATCAGACCCATGAGTCAGTAACCCGAGTGAGACCAAGGGTCAGAGGCAGGAGAGAAACTGGTAATCAGAACCACAAGTCACACACCAGGTACCATGCCAGGAAGCCAGGCCAGGGGAGCAGGAGCAGGGTGGATCCTGATTGTTCGGACAAATTCCTGTTCCTACTTCTGGCTTAAGTAGGGCCAGCAGGCCAATAGGATCACGGGGGAAGAGCCTCAGCCTGAGGCTGGGGTCGATGGGTGCTACATAAGCAGTTAGCAGCAGGCTGCCAAGGGCAGGGCTGATCCTGCAGACCGAGGTTCAAGACCCCTGGCTCGTGACAACACCCTATGTCATAGCATCAAAATAATTGCTGCAGGTTGGTCCAGCACGAGGGAGTTTGCTGGACCAGGGGAGGTAAATTCCAGACCACCGCCCCACCCCATGCCTGGCCATGCTCCTGGCCCAAGCCACTGACACTGTTTCCGGCCCTGTCCAATGCCCCCGACTGGGCTGTTGGCCTTGGCCAGACACCAGCCCCCACCCTACCGCCAGTCTGCCAGGTGCCCCCCCACCCCTGACCTGAGTGCCACAGGCTCTGGCCCCAACCGGGCTGCCAGACTTGAACTGAGCTGTGGATTAAAACCCTGTTCAAAGAACATGGGGGGTGAGTCAGCCTGCATCCCCGCAGTGCAGGGCCAGTGGGCACACGTGCCTCCTCCGTGTACCCTTGCCCTAATGTCGGCTGCACTTCTCAGGGCGGGAATCTCTGACTCCCCCCACCCCGCTAAGTCTGCCAGGATTACCCTTAGTGCTCAGCTGGGGGCAGCTTTGCCTGCACACAGCTGCCTGGCCAGGTGTCTAGGAGCGGGGAGTGTGGGTCTGAGGGCGCTACGCTCCCTGCCTTGCCACAGGCCTTGCCGGGCAGCGAGGGTGCTTCGGGGGAGCCCAGCACCTCCCTGGATTGGGCCTTTCACTTTGCGGTCCAATGAAACGGAAAGAACAAGCACCCCGCGCCTCAGGGCAGTGCCCACCACCATGCTCCCCAGGGCCCCGCAGGAGGAGAGGGTGGTTGGGTTGCCATGGTTACTCTGCTGTTGTTACCGCCACCAGGAACCCGCCAGAGGTTCTGGGGCTCGTCGCCGGCGTCGCCGCGGACCCAAAGCCCTTTGCCTGCTGTGATGAAGTGGGAAGGGGTCGCGTCTGCTGACAGCGGTTGCGGGAGCAGCAGGAGGCTCTGGCTGCTCACTGAGTAGTGAGGCCAGTCACGAGCCCCGGGCATGGAGGGACGCAGTCACCCGGAGCGAGCCCATCCCTGGCTAAGGTGTGAGGCTGCCAGTCCCAGATCCTGCGCTACCAAGTAATCTGGGGGCAGGCCACACAGGCAGACTCGGCCTAGAATGCATGGATGGCTCGTGGATGGCCTACAAATGAGGCGGGGGGTGGCAGTCCAGGATAAAACAGGAGACTCCTTCAAACTTTTGCTCAAGTGTTAACCGGATGCAAAGCCAACGGACCCAAGTTGTTGGCAGGTGGGATTGAACAGGCGACGTTAGGAGCTAAAGCCATGAGCCTCCGCAGCCGGAGTTAAAAGCCAGCTGGCGCGTCACTCGCTCTCATCTCAGTGCCTCGGCTTACATAGGCCAGGCGATGACTCTGAGCTGGCAGCTTGGTAGCATGGGTGCTGTGTGTGGGGCACGGAGATGCTGGCTCAGACCAAGGGTGCCAACTCTGCCGGGGTCCCTCAGAACAATGGTGGCATCTCCTTCCCTGACTCTCCGACAGTCACACGCTTGCTCTGTGAGTCTCTCCGAGACCAGGGATGGGCAGGGAAATGTCTTAGGGAGTCTTTCTCCTCAGCAGCGCAGGTCCAAATATAAGACAGCAGAGACTGCAAGTCATCACCCGCAAAGGCCTGTCTGTTGGCCTGGGCAAAACTAATTCAGGGTCCTTGTGCCAGATCCCAGAGGGCAGGTGCCCCCTTCCCAGAGCCCTCACCTGCCCTCATGCTGACGGGTTTGTGCCACCTTTTTGCCTGCAAATCTCACAAGGGCCAGCCGGGAGGAACTATCATGTTTTAATCCCTGACAACTGCCATCCACAGCAGCTGTAGCTTAGAAGTAGCCTCCGACTCCGCCTCCTTCCAGTCCCTGCCTCCCTCTTCTACACTGAACACGGACCTGCACCACTGCCTCCTGTCTGGGCTGGGCTCCTGCTTCTTCCCTGGCCATTTTGACACTTCCAGTTCTGCCGCTGTTGTGTGTTTCCATGTGAAAACACACTTTGGGTTACCTCATTGCCACATGCCCTGGGCATCTAGTCTCACACCTCTCTAGGTATGTTGTGCTAGGTACGTTCCCTCCAGGTATGGCCTAGCCACCTCCACTTCCCGGTCCTATCTGTATCTGTTCCATCCTCCTCCCAGTCTCCGAGGCTGAGATTTGACTCAAACATCTTGGCTGTGTCTACACTGGCAAGTTATTCTGGAAAATCAGCCGCTTTTCTGGAAAAACTTGCCAGCTGTCTACACTGGCCGCTTGAATTTCCGGAAAAGCACTGACGATCTAATGTAAAATCATCAGTGCTTTTCCGGCAAAACTATGCTACTCCCATTCTGGCAAAAGTCTTTTTCCAGAAAACTATTCCGGAAAAGGGCCAGTGTAGACAGCACAGTAGTGTTTTCCGCAAAAAAGCCCCGATCGCGAAAATGACGATCGGGGCTTTTTTGTGGAAAAGCGCATCTAGATTGGCCACGGATGCTTTTCCGGAAAAAGTGCTTTTCCAGAAAAGCATCCTGCCAATCTAGACACGCTTTTCCGAAAATACTTTTAACGGAAAACTTTTCCGTTAAAAGCATTTCCGGAAAATCATGCCAGTGTAGACGTAGCCCTTGTGTAGGAGAAGCTGGAGTTTAGCTAGTAAGGGTTTCATAGGCTCCTTGCATACACCTATGTTACACTGGCCTCACACCGCTGGCTTAGGGGGACTCCCATGGTGAGGGGCGCAGGGCCTTGGTGGCAGCAGCCCCAAGACAGCTTAGTACTTAGCAGCTTGTATGAATTGCTCTGCAAGCTGAGCAGCGACCCCCGAGCTGCCGGAGACAGAAGAACATCCATGTATTATTGTAAATTGAATTACCTGCCAATTACAGAGGGCAGCGTGTGGCACAGAGGCACTTTGCAAACCCAGCGCTTCCCCAGGGAGCCTGTTCCTGCCTCAGGCAGGCTCTTTGCCACCAGCCCGCTGGGCTGGCTCTTGGGCCCACCCCCGTGAAGAGAAACAACCCCCAGAAAGGTGCGAGCCAGCCCAGAGCAGGGCAGGGTTGTGCTTCCGCTAGCCCCGTCCCCATCTGCAGGGCTCACAGAGCGCTCAGAGATGCGGCCTTTGCCCTGGGAGGCTGATGCTAACTGGGAATGAAAGATCAGGGTCAGGAGCGGGCGCAGCTGGCATCAGGGAGGAGACGGGGATGGGGAGGCAAAGAGAAGGAGCGGGCATCCAGCAGGAGAGAGGGAGCACTGTGGGCACCAGATGGAGCAGCCTTCTCCAGCAAAGGGAGCAAGGTAACAAAGAGAGGGCAATGCCTAAATGCCTCTGAGGATCCAGCCGAGGAGCCATTGGTGGGAGAAGCTGCTAAAGGGAGCACTAGAGGCAGATGGGGGAGGGGTGCGGAGGGAACAGAGGTGGGGAGCAGGGGTGAGGGGTTGTGCATTCATACAGAGCCTCAAAGGGGAGGAAGAACAGGAGACATGACTTCACGGGCTGGGAAGGGCACCCCATTCTCCCCTCCCCCTCCCCCCGAGGGAGGTCTGGTTTGCTGACGTAAAGGTGACCTGGCTTCTCTTCCCCTAGGGGCACTGCTGGGGCTGAGCTGTAGAAATTCTGCCCCCGGCCTTGGACTGACTGATGGTCATTTCCACCCTTCTTACAGCAGAGTGGAAGAAACTGCAGCGAGGCCCAGTTCGGGTGGGCTCCCAGCCTGGACCTCACCAGCCCTCAGGCTCCACGTCGTCTGGCTGATGCTGCTCCTGCATCCTAAGCCGTCCTGGGGGCATAGCCTGAAGCCCTCCTTGCCCCCCATTGTGCCAGACCGGCCCTTTCTGGTGGCCTGGAACGCCCCCACAGCTCGGTGCCAGAGCGCCTACCATGTGCCCCTCAGCGTGGCCTCTTTCTGGCTCCTGGCAAACAGGCAGGAACACTTCATCGGTGGGAACGTCACCATCTTCTACTACGACCAGCTGGGTCTGTACCCCTACTACCTGAGCACCGCCACACCCCCCGTGGCCGTCAACGGCGGCTGCCCCCAGAACGCCAGCCTGCCACACCACCTGGACAAGATGGCCGACGACATCGCCACGGCCGTGCCCTCCCCCTCCTTCGCTGGCCTGTCGGTGATCGACTGGGAGAACTGGAGGCCCAAGTGGATCCGGAACTGGGCCAAGAAGAAGGTCTATCGAGAGATGTCTGCCTGGCTGGTCCGGCAGAGGAACCCCGACTGGTCCAACAAGCAGGTGGAGAAGGTGGCCAAGTGGGAGTGGGAGACGGCTGCAGCCAGGTTCATGGTGGAGACCCTCAAGCTGGCGCGGTCGCTGCGCCCGGAGGGCTGGTGGGGTTACTACCTCTTCCCCGAATGCTACAACTACCACTACTGGGGTGACTTTGAGAACTTCACTGGGGGCTGCCCCCAGGTGGAGGTGCAACGCAACAACCAGCTGCAGTGGCTGTGGGAGCAGAGCAAGGCCCTCTACCCCTCCATCTACATGGAGGAGGTGCTGAAGGACTCCCCGCAGGGCAAGAAGTTCGTGCGGGCCAAGCTGCGTGAAGCACTGCGAGTGGCTCAGCTGCCCTCCGCCAACCACTCCCTCCCGCTTTTCGCCTACGCCCGGCCCTTCTACACCTACACCCTGAAGGAGCTAACCCAGGTGAGATGCCGTCCTGCCGCCCGCCCGCTGTGCCTAGCCGCCCCTGCAATGGGCCCACAGTAGGGCGCAAACCCTGCCCCTTTAGCCCCAGCACTGCAGGGAGCTAGGAAGAAGCAGGCACCTCTGCTTTGCGAGGAGGGCGGGCCGGGCTGGGCGAGGGGGTCTGTGTGAATGTGACTTAATCCTGCGTGAAGAGTTAGTGGCTAGATATTGAACGAGGCCGGCTGTGCCGCGGGAGTCCGGCTGCGACGTCCGGCCACTCGGTCCTACGGCGACACCGTTAGTAATCCCGCTTCTTCATCAGCGTGTGGCCCTCGGTTGCAAAAACGCGCTCCGGGGTACCCTGGTGCATGGAGTTGCAAGGAGCCCGGCTGCCGTCCCTGCACATGCAGGCCCGGAACGGTTGGGACTCTCACTCCGAATGCTGCAAGGGAAGAGGCCGAGCTGCTGCCCCTCCAGGGTGGGCCTCCCCTGCCCAGCCATACCCCCCTACTTTGGCAGCAGGACCGGGTGAGGAACTGCATCCGCTGGGTGCTTTGCTGGACGCTCGCGACTCTGTCTCTGCTCGGCCTTCTCACCGCGCTGCCGCTTTCTCTTCTTGCAGACAGACCTGGCAAACACGATCGGGCAGGCGGCAGCGCTGGGGGCTCATGGGATCGTTCTCTGGGGAGGTGCGGATTATTCTCGCAACCGGGTAATACAGGCACCTTGTGGAGCTACTGTTGATTGTTGGGGGGGGGGGGGGCAAGGAGAAGGGGGGAGGCTGGCACGCATGCACACCTGCTTCTGGGATTGGGCCCCCTTTAATTGCCCCCAGGCACCTCCTCTCTGGCCACAGCAGGTCTGGACTGGAGTTGAACTGGGGCCAGAAGGCGGATGTCATGCTGGGTTAGGGCATCTCTCACCCTGGCAAGTTTAGGGCTGGGGGGGGGGGAGGAGGAGGAGGCCTCTCCCTCCCTCCCCTGCCCCATCCGAGCCCTGAGAGCCTACGTGGCACTAAATTGGCTACTGCGCCACTTAGAGGGAAATTGGCTCCCTGCCTCAGTTTCTTCACTCCAGCAGGACAACAGCAGCCTTGCCTGTCCCCCCGCTTTGGCTGCCTTGTCTATTCAATTCTTCAGAGCAAGGGCTGGCAAGTTAGCTTGCAGTGATTTATTTGCCATAAACACATGCTGCTCCCCACTAGCAGATCTTTATTAACATCCATGGTGGCCATTCCCCTCCTCTGTCCAGAATCAAAGTCTGGCTGACAGGCCCACAACCCCCTCTCAGTTCCTCCCATTAACTACAGGCACAGCAGTCGCTTTCTTCCAGTCCCGGGGCACTCGGACCCTGCTACAAGGCTTATTAAAATCAACAACGGATTCAAATGATCGAGAGCTGCTAGTGTCAAGATGGCTAACATTAAGTTTAGTGGTTGTTGTTTAACATCCTGCTTAATCGCTTGTTATTAGTCTTCCAGTAGCATCAGAAGACCTCAGCTTGGATCACCATAGGCTCCTGATCCCAGCTGAGGTCTCTGAGCTACTACTAGCAGACTAATAATAACCAGCCCAGTTAAGTGATTGAAAGTAATTGATGTTTTCAAAATGGGATTACTCAGTCCCTCAATTGAGAAAAGAGGATACACGGGCATTTAAAAAAAAAAAAAAAGAGAGAGAGAGAGAGAGAGAGAGATCTTGTTGAACACACAAAAAAAGAAGGGACGTGGATCGCACTGAATGTCAATTAGAAGCCAGACATTTTAGAAGATTGATAAGGGAAGCAAAAAACCCCACGAGAGGAAATCTGTTGCCAGTAGTATTGAGGACAGGAAGGAGATTTTTAAATATACCAGGAACAAAAGAAGTCTTAATGGTACTCAGTCCTCAGGAGGTGGAAATGATAGCATTGTCAATAGTAATGCAGAAAAGGCACAACTATTCAAAAATACGTCTGTTCTGTATTTGGGGAAAGCCAGATGACACGAACCTCAGCAGATTATGAAATACTTTCCATTCCACTTGTGACAGATGGTGATTAAACCGTAGCTCCTACAACAGAGAGACGTTTTCAAAAGCTCAGGCCCAAACCAATTGCTCCCCACATTTTAAAAAAAAGCTAGTGTAGGAGCTCTCTGGATACTTAATGTTGATTTTTAATAACTTTTGGACACACAGGAGATTGAACGGAAGATAACATTGTTTCTGGTTTTCAGGGTAAAACAGGATGACACAAGTAATTAAAAACCTGACCCCTTGAATTTGATCCTCACCAGAACACTGGAATGGCTGATAAGAGACTCAATAAAGCATTTAGAAAAGGAAAATCTTACTTCTTGCCAATCAACATGGTTTATAGAAAATGGCTCAAGCTAATTGGATATTAACTTGATGAGTTTACAAGTTTGGCTGATAAATGGAGTTGATGTTTTATACTTAGCCTTCCATTAGGCATTTGACTTAGTGCCACGTCATATTTTGATTAAGAAACTGATAGAAAAGCAGTGTGACATGTTGAATGAATTAAAAGCTGACTAATTGTTAATTACATTTTGGACCCTGGGAATCACCATCAAGCTGATGTGTTTGTAGGGGGATCCTGCAGAGATTGGTTCTTGGCCCTATGCCATTTAATATTTACATCCATTATCTGGAAGAAAACAAGTTGTAGATGAAGGTTTAGGAGGAGGTTATATTATCATCTTTCTACTTGGCAATTAAGTAATTTTCACTGCAACAGCTACTGGCATATTGTGCTCAGTTCCAAAGTACTCAGTTCCAGACAGATGATGAATTGGAACCACGAAGAGCTGTGACAATGGCTGTAGAAGGGGAAAACAACCTTCCAGCACCTTTAGCGCATCACAGGGAAGGCTAAGAAGTGCCTTGCCAAGTACCTACATGGGCAACAGAAATTCCATATTAGATGGTTCTTCAAGCTGGCAGATAAAGCAATAACAAGAGCCCAGGGCTGGACATTCAGACTAGAAACAAGGCACTGTTTTTAAGGGGAGGGCCTGGATGCTTATCCTAAAAAAATCCAGGCTAGTTCAGTTACAGCTTTTGGACTTGAAGCAAGATTTAATTTGGGGCAATCCTATACATAGGTGGTAAGATCACAGTGGCCCCTGCTCGCCGCTGAGTCTAGAACAGCACAGCCTGTTATTGGTACTGAACAGCACAGTAACTGCTTTAATTTTCCTTCTCTAGCACATCTGTGCGAAGATCCAGAAATACCTGACTACCACCCTCGGCCCTTACATCGTCAACGTGACCACGGCAGCCAAACTCTGCAGCCGGTTCGTCTGCAACAACCATGGCCGCTGCTTTCGCAGGCAGGCAGACTCGGACAGCTACCTGCACCTGGACGCGAGCTCCTTCCAGATCCACGTGGAGAGCGCCGCCCACGGACCCCGTGTGTCTGTAAAAGGAGTCCTGACCTCCCAGCAGAAGGGCAGGATGAGGCAAGAGTTCCTGTGTCACTGCTACCGGGGCTGGAGGGGGAAACATTGCCGCTCCCGGGGGCAGAGCCACCAGCTTTGCGCATGGGACTTGCGCATCCCTGTCTTGGTGGTGGCTGCAATATGGACGTGGGACATGTGATCCACTTTTGCGACATCTTCCATGTGAATTTGTGAAGCCAGTGATGTGACGTGAACCCTGGAAAAGGAAGGACGAGGAAGGAGGGAAAACAGCAGCAGGTTCTGCACATTGGCAAGAGGACTGGAAAGTTTCCAGACATCCTACCAGCTCCCATGACCCCCCTATACATGACCCCTCCCTCCTCAAAGGGGGTCATGCAGCAGAGAGCAGGTATGGTTTTTTTCCCAGCATTGTTTGCAGGGTGCTAGCACATTCTTCACTTAGGTCAGTGACTTTCTACCAGCATGGCAGCTTTAAAAACACTAGGGTGCAATTTTTCCAGCCAGATAAAGAACAGTTTTCTATTGCTCCTTTTTAAAACCTCACGCTAGTCAGGAGTAGCCGTTTACAGTAGGGTTAACCAATGCCCACACTCTTGCCTCTGGGAACCATCAATATATTTAAATACATTCCTATTTATATGCAGAAGGGACTTTTCCTACTCAGATCATTTTTAGGTGCCTTCCCAAAGGGGCTGGTGCTATTTTAACTCCTGGATGTGCGTGTGGTCTTGCATTCCCTTTACGGGAGACTGAGTTGAGTTGATTTTTCTTCATTAAATATTTTCCATGTGACTACCATGTGGTGGCGTACAGGCCTGGCCCCTGAATTCTCCATCTGCCCTCTGAACGATTTCCAACCTGCACAAGGGGCCTAGCTCGGGAGGTAACAGGGAAGGGGCATCCTATCCTTAGGAACTGCCATAGGATTGGGGAGGAGACTTTCCAAGGCCAGTCAACCACTCAACTCCCCTCGAATGTCAACGGGCCTTGGGTGTTGACTTTCCTGAGGTGCCTTTGAACATCCCAGCCTAAGCTCTCTTCCCACAGGCTACACCCCCTGCAACTAGCAAAGGCTGAGTGGTCTGAGTCAGACGAATTCTTTACTCATCTACCCAGAAGTTTGCCTTTGACTCCATCCAAGGCAGCCCAGCATCAGCCAACACTTGGGCCAGGCCCCTGTAGACATAACTACATCAGTCGAGGGTAAGAAAAAATTGCTCTCCGCTCCCCAGCCAACATAGCTGTGCTGGTGAAGCCCTCAGCCTGGACTTAGCTGCACCCCACAACAGAGCTGCTGGTGTTTGGGGAAGCATGTCCCCATCCTGCCAGAGAAAACCCTTCTCCTACCATCCACTGTGTGTCCACGAGGGCTCTGTAGACAAAGGGCCCACAGGCAATAGCGTTTGAGGCGGAGAATGCAAGATTTCCTTTCACTTTGGGGATGGCCCCAGAGAGTCAATGAAAACGTTCGACACAGTTAGCCACAGTCGGCGTCTTTATACCATCTGACACCTTGTGCTCCTGCCAGGCCAGGCGACATCAGGCAGCACTGGGAGGGACAGGGCGGAAAACATGAGAACTGGGGGCGGGGTTTACGGAAGGAGAGGGAAGGGAAGAACTAAGGAGTCTGGGTGGTAAGACGGTTCCTCCGTGAAGGAATACAGACGAGGCATTGTGCAATGTCAGCGGGACCCCTGCAGGGAGATCTGACCCGCTGCTATTTCCAGTTACTGCCTTCCTAGCAATCAGACATGCGGTGTGGTGGCAGCAGTGGCATGACATTTTATGCTGCCTCTGCTGGAGCCAGTCACCTCTGGGCTTTTACACTGTCACTGCTGCTCACAGCTTATCTGAGCACAGGGAAAGCCAGACCCTGTGGGCCAATAATAAGCAGGGGGAAGGCAATTGTACTGTAGGTGCCTCCAATTTGAACCCTCCCCTGTAAGGCCAATGAGCCATAGAGAGTAGCTGCTGTGCAGGCTGGGGTGTTCTCTTGGTGCTGGAGCACATTATGCTTCCTCAGCCAGCTGCTCAGATTTCCCCAGCCAAGTGCCTGGGAGCTATGGATTCAAGTGAGGAAACCTCAGCCCCCACTCAGCAGCCAGCGGTCATGGAAGACGGGAGCGTTGACGTTCCTTTGACCCCAGTCAGCTGTGAGCTCCTGGCAGTTCCCCTTCCAACTAAAGAGCAGAGGCATCGTTTCCCATGGGGCTTTAATTCACAGCGTCGACTCAGAGCACATTGTGATTACAGCAACTCTTCCGCGTTCGCCCGGCCACGGGTAGCCAGGCGTGGTCCCTGAGACAGCCTCTTGCTGCCTCTGCACCTGGGGAACCGCTCATTAGCAGCAGTGGGCATGGCTGAGACTGAGGGCTGAAAAGGGCACATGGCAGGCATCCCTCCTGTTGAGCTCATTAATTTAGTCCTGCTTGAAAAAAGGGGTCAGCACAAAACCAGTGCACACCCTGCCCTGCCCTGTTCCGTATATCAAGTTCATCTACACAGGATTTCGAAGGAGGGAGTTAAAGCATGCTAGCTGACAGCTAACACAAGTGGAGACAAGATGGCAAAGACTAATCTGAATTAACTGGCAGAGAGGAACCCAAGTCTACACCCCAGAATTCAACTCCACCTGTCTGGAGCGTGTTCAAATGAACAGGGTCTCATCTGGACTAGTTCTAAGACCACATGAGCCAGCACCTTACCTCCAAAGCCAAACTGGGCTGAGCCTTTGGGGCGCATCCACAGCCAGCTGTTAAAGCTGAGCCCTTCCGGAAGGAAAACCCTCTGCCTTCAGCCACTTCTATTTTAGCCTCCCTGAACACACCTGCAAAAGCACAGGGAACTGCGAGGAGAGAGGCAGGTCCCAGCTGCCCCAGGAATTCTGACAGGCACATGGTCGAAAAGGAATTTGGAAACCCCCCTGCTTCTACCACAGCTGGGACTTGCTCCCTGCTCCCTTCTCCCTGCCCTGGGCTCACTCGCCCTTCTCGTCCCAGGCCTCCCAGGAATCCAGCGCAGAGTTAACGATACCTTTCATTTGTCTGGCCTTGCAAGTGCTTTGCTGCTCTGCTTGACAGGAGCCCACGGTTTTACTACTCACCCTCTCGGCCACACCAGGCCTCGCCTTCCTCCAGCACAGAACAACGTCCCGGCACAGAAGAGCCTGTCCAGATCACCACGCGGACTCTGCTGGGGATCAGGCGGGAACGGAGCTAACGAGCAGCCCCAGCCACACTACTGATGAGTTACACACCCTGGCCCGGGAAGCCACAGGAGAGTCAAACAGGCCTGCCTCACATCCCTGACACACAAGGCTACTCTATGCAGTGACAGCAAGGCTCCAGGTTCTCCTCCCAGCATGGCTTTGGGAGCGTCCTACAGCTCCAGCCACTGAGCACTGGCTCAGAACCAAGCCGGCGAGGGGCGAGCTGGAGCAGACCCCAGCTCCGCTGCCCGTGTCTATACCCCACAGCTAATGCGTCAGGCTTGTCTGGCAGCGCCTCAAGCAGACATTATGAAAATGCCACTTATGGCCCCATCGCCGATACAACCGTGTCAGGCTTGTCTGGCAGTGCCTCAAGCAGACACTTATGGCCCCATCGCCGATACAACCGCACCAAAATAAGAGCCCCAGCCCTCCATTGACAACCTCCCGTCTCTTGGGAATTTGACTGTTTGGAACGACGGCGGAGTTAGGACTAACCCAGCTCTACGGGAACCCCGCAAGCCTGGGGGCAGGCCAAATCCTCGGCCTGCCTTTTAGAGAGCAGTCCCATTGGGCAAGGGTTGGTTGGTACTGCCCTCTCGCCTGGGGCACTGGTTTGGTTACCGGCCGGTCAAGAGGACCTCCCCTGTACGTGAGCAGGCCATACAGAATCTGGCGTAGAGGCCTGGCTGGCCCAAAGCGGAGTGAGAAAGGTCTCCATTCCAGCAGGGAGCTGGGTCAGCCTCATCCACACCTATGGGAACCAGCAAAGTACACCGACCTGAAGCCAGGACGGTTTGGAGCAGTGAAAGTGCCCTCGCCTACGTCTGTCCAAGGTCAAGAGACCCAATCTTGAGTGGGGCTTTGGTCATTACTATGCTAGAGTATCCACCCAGAGAGGTTACGACCGGTTAGAGTCCTACAGAATATCTGTAAATCAACCTACACAACTCTACAGCAGGGAGAGTTTTGGTCTTTTTAAAAAACACATTCCATGATGCAATGGAAAAGCTCAGTTGAGAGGACTCAAAGCCCAACCTTCGGGTAATTTCCACCTGGGAACTAGCCACCTGAGCTATGTCTACACTCGTGGCTTCTTGCGTGAGTAATATGCAAATGAGTCTAAGCGTGGAATATTGCTGAGCCTCATTTGCATACCTAATGAGCCACCATTTTTTTCAGAAGAGGCTTTTGCGCAAGGAGTGTCTACACTGCCCCTTCTTGCGCAATGCCGTTCTTCCTGAAAAGTAACAGGTGTAACAGCAAGAGGGTTTTTCTTGCGCAAGAAGGGGCAGTGTAGACACTCCTTGCGCAAGAGCCTCTTCTGAAAAAAATGGTGGCTCATTAGGTATGCAAATGAGGCTCAGCAATATTCCACGCTTAGCCTCATTTGCATATTACTCGCGCAAGAAGCCGCGAATGTAGACATAGCCCTTCTTAGAGGTTAAGCAGCTGTTTAGACAGCCAGCGTGGAGAAAGACGTGAACATTGCTAGCAGCTACAAGCTACTCCGACTGGCAGCGCGTGAATGATGATTTAAGAGGCAGAGGAGTCTGGTTTGGTTTCTCCCACTCGGAAGTTCCTACTGACAAATTCAGCTCCGGCGACGTTTTGGCGCAATAGAGACAAGTTCCGTGTCTTCACAGTGATCTGAAAGATGGCAAAGAAGCTAGCTAATGGGACTGAAGTTTCAGGGGAGAACGGATGGAGGGTTTTTATTACCAATTGCAGCACGACAGTTTAGACTTAACATTCATTCCACCCCTAGGTGCATTACGGACCCGCTCTGGTGCCGGGGGTCTCAGCGGGGCCCTGCACTGGAAGGAGTGTTGTTAGCAGCAGGCAGCGTGCGATAGCAGGGAACTGCCACTCGAACCACACACACTCACGTTGTTTTAAAAATATTTTATTCTTTAGAAAATACAGTGTTGAGTACAGTGTGTTCTGATTCTCTCCCCACAGCCTCAGACCCCTGCCACCACCCAGCCTGCCTCCCCACGGGCTGCACCCGCCCCGCAGGCCGCAGCCACAGCTGATGTGCCAATAGGGCAAAACCGCTTTCAGCCCACTGACCTGGCCAATGTATCCCCACAACCCGGTGGTAAAGCCTCCAGAAGCAGCCAGTCTCCCCTAGGGCTGCCCCTGCTACAACTGAATAGACCAACAGCCCCCCTAGGGAACGTCCCCCCCAAAAGTCCTTAGTGTAGACAAGCTCAGTGTTACCAACGTGCACTGGAGGCTCAAGGGCTGCTGACCATTCACCTCCCCTAGGAGCTGAGAAGTCCCCCATCCTCCTGTGTAGGTGCTGCCGCCCATCCGCCCTCAGCCAAGTGGTCAGCAGCGGCGCTAGCACTCAGATCTGAACCAATCACGGACGTCCCTTGGTTTTCACCATTCAGCACCATCTGCATGGCCTACGCGACTCCCAGGACAGCCTGGAGACCAGGTCTTCGTAGATTTGGGCCAGAAGCCAGCCCAGTAGTGTCCTAGCAGGAGGAATGGACACCTTGGCCCATGGCTCCCACACGCACCAGCTCTGAGTTGGCCGGGCTAACCCCAGGAACATTCAGGCTGGTGCAGAAGGGACTCAGGGGCCACAGAGCTGCCCCACAGTAGAGATGGAGCTATTCAGAGGGCAGAGTTCCTGCCAGGAGCTCTCAGGTCCCACTCTCCCCCCCACACACATCCCTCTCGAGGGAGGGATCGGAGACCTTGAGGCTGCTGTAACATCTACACAGTTGCCCAAGGAGCTCAGGACAGATCCCCCTAAAATAGCAACTTGGAGGGTGGATGGGGCTGGGTGGGCCTTCCTCCATCCCACCAAGGAAATTGGGGTGGGGGAAGGAGCTACTGCAGACAGCCCCATTGGGGAAGTGGCAGAAGATTTTCAGGCTACGTGACTCCCTCAATGAGCCTTGGAAGATCTCACCATGGCCAGCCAGACATCATTCCAAGGGCCCAGTGGTCAGCGTCACAAGCCCCACCCCCCGGCACGCATTGAGGGGGGAGGAGGGGCTACATCGCTGCCCCTTCGTCCCACACGATTCCAGGAGCAGAATTTGTCCTTAAGCATGAGAGGGGGGAGGAGGGGACACACGATTCCAGGAGCAGAATTTGTCCTTAAGCATGGAGCACGTGGGGCGAGGAGGGGACAGAGCCACTGGGAATCCCTTCCTTCACGCAGGTCCCGACAGGCCCTAGAGCTCCGCTTGTTCGCCTGTTGGGCGAGTTCCGACTGGACCTTCGCATCACTGCCAGGCAATGGCTTGCACCAAGCGTGGGGGCAAAGGTAACGAGTCCAAACGCCACACGGTTCTAGAGCAGCCAAGGCGAGCAAGCTGCATGAGTAGCCTCCTTCATCTCAGTAGGCCGCAAGATTGAAAATGGTGGGTAACCTGCGGCCTATTGATGTTCCATGTCTGCACGTCCCCTCTCTGCCCCCTTCCCCCACGCGCCTCTTGCACACTGGGGCACAGGAGCCCCACACTTCATTCCCCCTCCCTCCTAGCACTCAGAGCACCACGAATGAGCTGATCCAAAGCAGTTCAAGCTCTGGGAGGAAGGGGGAGCGGCAGGGACGGAGCACGAATCAGCTGATTCAAAGTGCTGGGAGGAAGGGGGAGGCATAGGTAAGTGTGGGGCTCCAGTGCCCCAGGGTGCAAGAAGCACGTGGAGAGGGGGGCAGAGAGGGGATGTGCAAGCCGCAGGCAGAATCCCAATGGGCTGTATGCAGCATGCAGGTTGCCCACCACTGGTACAGAGATGACCGGGATGGTCTGTTTACAGTGCAGACTCTTTAAACCGGATTAAAGTCTCTTCCCCATTTAGAAAAAGAGTTAGGGACAGAAGTGAGCGACTCGCTCAGCAGCTACCAGCGCCCTGGAGATATCAAGACGCCCAGGGGTCCGTGTCTTCTCCTGGGATCCCGGGTGGCCAGAAGCATGTAAACTTCCTCAACTCCGTGAGCCCTCCCTGCCCAGAGGGAGGATGGAGAAGTCAAATTCCCACCCAGGGAGAGACCAGGACTCTGCGACAGAGCAGTTCCACCGCTTGCTGGCCTGCTCCTGGAATGCGGGCTGTGCACGTTCATCCGGGAACAGGAGAACATGAGGCCTTACCATAAAACAGAGCACTGATTTCACTGGGTCTTCGCATAGCAGAGGGAGGGGCTGGTGTTCCACGGCACAATACAGAACATGGGTGGAATAGGTCCTCGCATGCATGTGGACCCTTTCACGTAACTCCCCCAAAGAAGCAGGGCTAAGGTACAGATGGTCAAGCAGCCAGAAGGGTCAGCAAGGGCTGAGCAACGGGAAGAGACAAGCTATTGCCTCACTCCAGAGGAAAACACGTCTGAAAAGCCGCTGGCCTGGAGAGAGGAAGGGATATTCCACTCCCTCCTCTCCCCCCCACAGCTGGATAGTTTGTGGTTTGTCACAAGGAGAGTCCTGCTGACCAGGTCCCATGACTGCTGGCAGGAAAAGCGAGAGGTTCCGCTGAAAAGCCAGGGAGGTGAAAAGCCAGCTGAGACTGGGACCTGGTGTGTAGTCTGAGCCAGGGAAGGTGAGGGAGGGCCCACAGCTAAAATCCCTGGTAGAGACTCTCCTGCCAGGTCAACGCTTACCCCTAGCCCACCTCTGGGTTGTCCCAGCACTGCCCTGATCACCTCCAGCAGCCAAACCTCCAGGGCTGCTGAAAACCCAGCACGAACTAGACATTTCAGCTCATGGGCTGAGCCAACGGACGTGTAAAATCCTTTCCTAGCCACCTCCCTGTCTTGCGCTCTAGAACAAGTCCCCCCATTTCCTACCTGGAAGGGATGAGCCGACCTCCATGTCGACTCTTCCTCCTCAGACTGGGACAATCCACCGGGCTGACACAGCCTTCCAAAGTTTTCACGGCAGCAGAGAGAATGAAAACCAAACAACGGCTTCGCGTCCAACATAACACCCCACAGTGCTCCAGGATGGACAAGGCTGAGTCCCCTCAGACACGATACAGATCAGGCAGAGGCTGCCCAGGGCTGGAATGACGTGTGCGTGAAACACCGTGCCCCACGGAAACAAACAGCTACGAGGTGGATTTCCAACAGCCACAACTCTCCCCCTTTCCTGGCGACAGTCCTGACGCTTTCGTGCGCACGGGCCTGGACAGCACGCTCCTTCCTCATCACCGCCACAGCTCCCCGGGCCTCCCGCCTGGGCCACAGCTAGCCCCTCTGCCCCAGGGGAACACCTCAGCCAACCTGCTTCACATGGACCTACAAGTCTTCTCCAGATACCCAATGTTCCCAGTCAGGGTGAAGGGACAGCCCTGCTAACCGGAGAGCAGAATGCAACGGATAAACCTGCCGCTGCTGATGTTCTCGCAGCCCAGCACCGCAAAACCACCCTGGTCTCGGGCAGCGTGACGGTGTCCTGTAGCCCTCAGCTGGACATGGCTGTCCCCACTTCCCTAGAGAACAAAGGATGGGCTGCTGGGCATAACGAAGGGCTAAACTATCACACGCGAGGATGAATGGGGTTATGGGTGGCCTGGCATGCACAACACCCCTGGTGGGCTGTGGGTCGCTCCCCTCTTCCCAAGTCTGGTTTTGGACAGTGGGTTCAGGACTGAGGAGGTGCCAGAGTGGGTCTGGGGAGCCAGGGCAGGGCAGTAATGCAACCGTAGGGCCAGGCGTGAGTGTCACAAGAGCTGTTCCTGCACCAGGGTGTTACGAGGCAGCCCAGAGCCAGATACGGAGCTCATGGGTCCAGGTGATCGGCTCATGTTCAGACTGCACCCGGAGCAAGGGAGAGCTGCCAGCAGGTTAGTGGCTGGGGCCCAGCCTCCCTTGCCCCTCAACTCAGTGACAAAGGGCCAGAGCCCCAGTTTAACTGCCGGCCAGAGTGTCTCAGCTTCTAATTCTGGAGCAGAGCAGCATCCAGGGCCTCAGACGGGTTTTGCGGGAGTGGCTCCAGCAGCTGGGAAAGCCGGAGGGTGGAACTGCAGGCGACAGAGGAGCCTCCACACTGGGACACAGATCCAAGGCAAACCCCGGACTGTGAAACGCGCAGTCTCTCCGAGAGCCCCGCCTCTGCGCCCAGAGGGGAGGAACTACCCAGCTTCCACTCACCGCGGCAGAACGCTGCTGCTCTGTGGGTGGCCTGCCCGGGGGCTGCGTTCGCCCCACGCCCACCAGCCTCCATGGAAAGGGGGGAAGTTGCCCTGCTGTGGTGAGGAACGCCAGCGATCCCGCCCCACGCTCCCCGGATCCCACCCGGCAGTAGAGCCGCTGGCCCGTCCCCGGGGAGGAAGCCGTCTGGCGCACGTCCCAGGGCACTGGCCAGCTAAGGAGCCAGCGTCATAGGGGAAAGCTGTCCAGGCTTAGGGACTTGGATACGGAGGCAACACACAAAGGGGAGGTGAAAGCCGCCTGCTTTCGTCATCAGCCCAACCCCGACCAGCAATTCCAGAGCCCGGCCTCTGGGTAAGCGAGCCCTTCCGTTAGTGCAGCTACCAGGTCACACGCCAGGGGGCATCAGGAGCACCCGTTTAAACCTCACTGCCTACTGGGACATCGTTCTGCTCAGGAATTACACAAGAGAGCGAGGGGGGGAAGAGAAAATCAAACCACCACAGATCCCACCCCTGCCCCGGCTTCCTCCCCGCCCCTCCCCCAAGCGAAGCCAGGTGCTCAGGATCTGACCCACAAGGAGGAGGGGGAAAGCCTCTCCGGGCTCGGCGGGCAGGCTCGGAAGCGGAGCCGCGGATCCTGTGGAAACTGCCCTTCGGGATGCCGTCCGAAGTTCACAGGCCTGTTCCTGCCCCGGCTTCCTGCCCTTTGGGATCTAACTGTCCTCGCCGTTCTCTCCTGGCCCTTTGATCAGCCGCTTCTGTCCCCGTTTCCCCACGGGCCCCTTGGGCTTGGCGAACGCCTGCTTGAAGGCGTGTTGCTTGGGGTGGACCTCGTCGTACAGGAACTCGGCGGTCAGCTCGGCTCCGTCGTCTATCTCGATCTGGCACACAAAATGGCGCACACGGGGGTTAGCTCCACAACGCCATCGAGCCCCTGTGGGGAGAGAACAGGGGCCTTCTCCCCCTAGCTCGGAGACAAGAGCCCCCCCAAACCACTGCCCTCTGCACCTCAGCGACCCATGGTGCAAAACCAACTCCTTCCTCTCCTGCAGCTGGGCCCAGGGAGCCGAGACTTCCTCCCACGCGGAGCCAATCTGGCTCCCTGGGGAGTCACTGGCAATCCCTGAGCTCCAGGCAGACCTGAGGGGAGCAGTTACCTTGGCACCACGCATTCAAAACGCTCGCTCTGCAGCCGCCCGGGGGCCACGGCGACGGACGTGTCAACTCGCTCTGCAGGGGCCCGGGGGCCACGGCGACGGACGTGTCAGACAATGCCCCTCACAACCACAAGCCCCTGCAGGGGAACCCGAGGTCAGGTTTGCACCCGCTGGGAGGGGACGGATCAAAGGGCGCCAGAGCCCCGCAGTGAAAGGCCGTGAAAAGCGGGAGGAAGGACAGGAGCAGCCGGCAACTTCACATGGCTGAGCTAGTGTTTCCCCCCGTTTGAGGGGAGATTTCAGGCCAGACACTAAAAGTAGCCCAACCCCCACTGATCTGATGCAGATTTTAAAGCAGACATGGAGAGGGTCTTCTGAGGTCCTCTAGTCCAGAGTTTCTCAACAACCAGCCCCTTGGGGTCTGCCCCCTCCCCCAGCGGGGCACGCCGGCCCCTGGGGGCACAAGGCTGAGAAATATTGCTGAAGTCTCGCCCTTGGGCGCCAGTCCTGCACTGGCCCCTGCAGTGTGTTCTCCTGCACGCTTCCAGGCCACTCAGAAACGGCTCAAGGGATGGGGCTCTCCTCTCCTCTCAGGCATCCTTAGCCTCGTGCCCTGGGACGGTCACCTTCAAAGTTCTCTTCCTCAACTTCCCGTTGGAACACCTGACACCTCGGCTCCCTCCTCTCTGTTCCCCCCCCTCCCGAGACACATGCCGGCTCTCCACTGTCCGGCTGGGGGGCGTGCTCTGCCGGCCAGGCGTCAGACACAAGGCTGGAGACATGGATTTACCTTCTTCGTGATCTCCAGGGAGAACTCCTGCTCCACAGTGTCGAGCAGCCGGCTCTTGCAGCTGGAGTACAGCATCCGCTCCTTAATGCCGCACCGGTAGCCAGGCATGGAGTAGATGAACACTGCAAGAGAGGGCAAGACGTCAACACCACCCCGGTCCAGGAAGCTGGGGATCCAGCAGTGAGAATCCAGGCCAGGATCCTGCCTACCTCTGCCCTTCGTCCCCAGAGTGCCACACGTGCAGTCCTGTGCCACGCTCGCCACACTGACGCAGGCAACAAAACCACCATGGGGAGGAGACAAAAATCGAGAGAAAGCCCCCTGCAGCCAGACAGCCTCCTCCTCCCACAGCTCAACACGCCGGTGCCTGCCCTGGGCTGCCCTCAATATGCCCCACGGCACCGACTCCCACAGCACTTCAGCAACAGTGAGTAGGGGGGCCCTGGGTTCAGGAGCTGCGCTGGGGCAGGTGAGTGAGCAAAGGGTGCGAATGGGAACTGGTCTGAGATCCCTCAATAGCTAACGGGAAGAACAGCCCAGGGAGAACCAAGTGAGGCCCCGCCTGCCTGCCAGGATGACAGCCGCGGCCCATGACGGGGAGGGCAGGTTCGGCTCCAGCACTGCACTGCACGCCTGGGCAGAACGTCGGGGAACGCCCGCACAGGGCTGGGGGAACCGGGTCTGAGCCAGGCACGGGCCCTGGGCTGAGCTTACCCACAGACTCCAGGTAGTCTCCCTCGTGAGAGTGCTTGTACAGGAAGAAGTGATAGCGCGCGGTGTCCTGGGGGATCCTTCTGGGGAGGTCCGCTAGCTCCGTGGCGTTTGTGTGGACCAGGTCGATCGTCTCCCGCTCCAGATCCAGTTTCTGGGGAAAGGCAGAGAGGTGGGCGCACAGCACCGCAAGCGGCGCTCAGAGGCTCTGCCGACGCAGGCAGGGGGAACAGGACGGAGACGCGCCAGGGAGACGGCCCCGGCCGCCTTACCAGCTGGATGTAATTGATTTTCTTCTCCTTCAGCAACAGGATGGCCTGCTGGGCCTCGGGCTGCAGCGGGAAGGCCAGGCCCTGCAGGGTCTGGTGTTTGCTCTCCACGCTGATCTCCGTCTTCACCTGGGAACGGAGACCCGACAGGCCAGTGAGTGGGGCCGGATAAAGGGAACGAAACCCACCACACACTGTGCTGCGCTCACCCTGCTGGGGGGGCACACGACTCACCCCCGGGCAGCAGCCACCGGGCTCCGCCGCTGCTGGCCCCGAGGGAACACGCTGTGCCCCGCCTCGCCCCGCCCACGAGCGCAGGGAGAAGGGGCCTGGGCTGGCCGGCTCGGGAGAGGGGGGCATGCAGTGTGAGGAGCCAACCCGCTTGCCCGCACACAGGCGGGGACGGGGGCAATGGGCCGTGACCCTGCGCTGCACACGGGCGCCCGCTCAGCGGAAGCGCTCCAGAACCCATGCGACCGGCCAAGACGTCGTGTGCTCCCCCCGTCCCACAGGCACCCATGTGTGGCAGCACCTCCAGCCTGCACTGCTGAGGACGCTTAGTGCGGCGAACTGCCAGGCCAACTCTGCCGGACCAGGGGCATCTCAGTGTCGCTGAGGTCCTACCCGCAGCACCCACCCTAGGCACCCTCCCCAGAACCACAGTCAACAGGATTAACCAATTAACCGGCTACCTGGAAGCACTGGGGGGCATGGCCCCCATCCCACCGCCAGGTGGGACCCCTGCCAGCCGGAGCAGTCCAGCTGCCTGCAGAGGGCCGGAGGGGTGGGCTGTCCGGACCCGGTTTACCGGTTATCCCTAACCCAGCTAACCAATTAGAACGGTACCGGTTAACTTGAAGGGGCATTGACATTCCTAACATGGGCAAGGAGACTCAGCCCCTCAGGTGCCCAGGACACAGCATCCCCCAAGAGAGCCCTCAGCTATGGGCCACTCGGAAGCAAAGGGAGAAGATTCTTCTTCCCCAGCCTTGAGCGTCACGATGCCGTGACAGCTAAGGGACCAGCTAAGGGACCCTGCAGATACACAGGGGGGTCAGTTTCTGGCCTAGGAGCCCCCGGGTGCCTCGTTCTCATTCGAGCTCCTGAAGAAGTCGGTGGCACCGGCCGGGACGACACATAACACGGCAATGCGGGGGAGTCCCAGCAAAGAGTCCCAGACGCCAGGATGCCAATCTAACTTCGACAAAGCGTTCGGCTTTCCGACAAACCCAGGGCTGGGCCAGACAATGCTAAATAAACACCCGGCCCTGCCTCGACGAGAGCTGGCTGGCCCCTTGGAGCGACCACAACAGCAATGCAGCCTTGCCAAAGGCAGGGGGATGTGCTGGAGGCTGCTTCGGTGAGATTTACGTGGCCACGTGAAGGGAGAGGCAGCACCATCGTCCCACAGCCCTTTCAGGACGACTTGTGACGTGGGCTGCTCTGCGTTCAGAGAAAGGCCTCACGGACACGTTTTCCCCGGAGCTAACCCCTGCCCAGAGGGTGGGCAAGTCTTCACAGAGGGAGCTGACCCCAACTCATCTGTGTTCAGGGTCGGTTATAAATCCCTGGGCACACAAGACACAATCCAGCCCACGGAAGCTGCAACTGTCACTGGCAGCTTTGCCACAGAGGGATTTCAAACGAAAAAGGAAGGGGAAGTGACTATGGTATCGATCCAACTGTACTGGCATCTCTAGCATTCAGGGGGAACTGGCCCAACTTTCTCAGCCACCCTCTCCCCTGCCTGCTGCACAACGGGTTCTGGGACTCTGCTTAGGGCCTCACGGCACAGCCATGGGTCCCCCACGGCCATCTCAGGGCTTGCCCTGCAGCTCTCCAGTTCTGGTCGGGGTCTGTACAGCGCCTAGCCCAGCGGGGTCCCAGTCCCGGCATTACAGCAATAAAGCATCTTGCCTCAACACAGCCAATTTGGGGCTGCTAGGACATGGCAAGATTTTGTTTGCCATTCTGAGTTCTCCACACCCGCCTCCAACGAGCAATCGCCTGTAGCGTGCGCACCGTTCCATCAGGACAAAGTACGTGGGCCGTGCAAACCCCTCCTCCCATTCCCAGCAGGTGACAGGCAAGGGGGGAAAATCCCTCCGAGCGAGCCCTGGTAAGCAGAGCTAAGCAGCTGGGACGTGACCACCCTAGTAAGCAACACTCTGCGTCAAACCCACTCTCCAACGCGCCCCAGTCCACTTCACAGGGGGGGGGGAAGCAAAGGAACGTCACACGCAGGCAGCTTACTCGTGGCATCTCTCGGCAGCCTGGGAGGCACTGCTCACGCGCAGCTTCCGCGGCCGAGGGTTGAAAAAGAAGAGACACAAACCCCACGCAGGAGAGGAGAAAAGCCCCCAGGCACAGGTCAAAGCACAGCACAGCAGGCAAGCCAGCGTACCTCCTCTGGGCCGGGGAGTTCTCCCAGCGCTGGGCAGCACCAACAGCCCGCCCCGCTCTGTCACGTGGAACAGGGAGACGGAGCCACGTCAGTAAGAGGACAGAGGAGAGCAGGGCTCTGACAAGCACCACACGTCTGCTGCAGCTCAGGGACTAAGCACCCAGAGTCCCCCCATGCTCCAAGAGCCACACGTGGAAAGGCTGCCTCCCACGGGCATGTCGGGGCTGTTCCACTCCGGTGTCCACTGCAACTGCCAGCTCTCGGAAAACCACCGTCTTCCGAGCTTGGAAGGTATCTTACTTGAGAAAACAGGGTTCAGCCATTTGAGGGAGGAAACCTCCCTCAAACCCATGACTTTTCCAAACGGCGTGCCAGGGCAGCCGAAATGCCTGCTCACCGACGGGTAAAAGGCACCACCAGCTAGCCACCGCTGAGTGCCAGAGCCCAGCCGGATCTCACTGGGCCCTCGGCTGGATCTGGTGATGTCTCCACTCCGCAAACTGAGCAGCCAGGGCGACTTTCCTCTGTGCTAGCCCTCAGTGCTGCACGCCAGCGAGGCAGCCTGGGCTATCGTGGACAATCCTGTTACTTCTTGGCCACAGAGCTCCACGGAAGGCAGGCAAGTCACGTGGTCCCTTTTACGCAGAACTGGGGCTTTCTAGTAGGTGCTAGGTCACGGCTCATCAGGCTGAGCCTCCGTGAGATGCATTTGCTGACCTGAGCATCCCAGCAGCCATGGGTCACTGTTCCCAGGCAATAGGAGCTGCAGGAAGTAATGCAGGCCGGGGCCACCGCTTCCCGCAGCTCCCATTGGCTGGGGACAGCAAGTCGCAGCCAATGAGAGCTGAGAGCGGCTGACACTGCAGACACCGGGTAAACAAAACCTCTCGCAGCCTGCCAGCAGTTTAACCTGCCCACCCAGCCTTCAATACCCCCTGCCCGGTCACGCTGGAGGGCAGGGCCAGGGCAGGAGCTGGACCACAGGTCTCCCAGCCACACGCTGGACGTCCTGCTCTGCGGGGCTCAGACGTGGCCGGGACCCCCTCACCAACGCTGCAGTAATGAAGTATCAGATACTTGATCGCTCCCTGGCTTTCCACCCCCTTGAGAAAGCGTGCACAGTGGGGCTGGACGCACAGAGATCCCACGTCTCCACACCCTAAAACGGCCCTCTGGCCTTCACACCCCTGCGTAGCGACACCGCACAGCTCTGGAACCCGTTTCTCGGAAGAGGGCCTCAGACGGGCCCAGGTGCAGAGAAGAGCTACCGGGGCGTGGTGGGTCTGTCCTACGAGGGGAGGCTTAGTGCACGCTGGCGAGCACCAAGGCGGTGGAGAGGCCAGGTCATGGCGCTCTATGGACACCCCGTAGGTAAGTGTCAGGGAGGGCAAAGAGCTATTTGAGCTGAAGGACAAAGCTGGCACAAGAGCAAGCCGATACAAACTGGCCATCAGCAAACTCCGGCTGGAAAGGAGAAGATTTCTCACCACGGCGGAGGCGGGGTTTCAGCAGCCCTGGGGATCTCAGAGTTTGTCCCTGACAGCTCCTGCTCCAGAATGTCAGCAGGGGGGATCAGAGAGGGACTCCTCACCCACCAGTGTAGTCAGTTTGTCTGTCTGTCCGTTCTACTGTCTTCCTCTGAAGCACCAGCGATGGCCACGGCTGGAGACGGAACCTGGGGTGCGGAACAGCCTGGGCTCCGAGGTAACAAGGGATTCTGGGCTCGTGCCCACATCTAACTGGTGGCCCTGGGTGGGGTTGGGAAGGAATCCCGCCCTCCTCAGACTGGCAGTGACCTTCAGCGTCCCTTGCCTTCCTCTGCAGTCTGTGGGTGCAGGGCAGTTGTTGGGTTTATCTGGGGACAACTCACTTCGTCTCGCTGCAGCAGCAGGGCCCTCTGTGTGGCACACAAACTAGTCTCCTGCGGACTCTAAGATTTTGGTGTAACTTGGGGGGCTGGGTTTTGTACGCTGGCAGCTGGTGGCATTTAATGGCCCGTGGCGTGTACCAGGTCAGACTAGACATTGACTCTTCTGGCTTTAAACTCGGTCACCCTCAGCTCCGGCTGGTAGCAAGTATTACCACGAAGTGACTTGCTCGGGGTGGGTTAGCAGCTCGTCCCGGAGAGAAAATAACCCCAAAGGAAGTGGGAGCACGGGGCTGAGTAAAGCAGGTGCCAGAAGGAAGAGAGCTAGAGAGAGAACGTGCAAAACAGCCAGCGGCCCAGCCTACCATGTCACTGCGAGAGTCCTGCGAGCATGGGGAGAGGAGACACCAGGTCAGCAACTCGGAGCAAAACAGCGGGGCAGCCCCCCACACAGCTCTCACCCAAACCAGGGGGGCGGATATGAAAAAGGGGGATGCGGACAGAGCACAGCACGCAGAGGGGAGAGGTCACACTGGAGAGAGAGGCGCCTACCCGCTCACTGCTGGAGGCCAGGGAGCCCCGAGCCTGGGAGCACAACAGAAAAAAGCACAAGGAAAACATCAGCACCAAGCACCCCCCTCCAGCGGGATGGGGGGCGCACAGAGCTAACACGGGGGGGGGGGGGGGGTGAAGGATGAAGACGACCGTGACTGGAAGAGGACTCGGGATACCTTCAGCCAGGGTTTACTGTGGCCTGCGTGGCTCTCCAGTCACCCTGATCCCCAACCACGCTGCATGATTCTCTCTAGAGCAGTGGGGGCCAATTTGCAGCCCATGGCCCAGCAGTGGTCCAGAGCA